TTTCTTTCTAAATTAGTTTAGTATAGACTAAGATATTGTTGGTATAACTTCTCCTCTGGAGACACTAGCTCTCCCCTATGATGTTCAGCTGTTTAATTCAAATATGGCATTGTTCTAGAGGCAACTACCTAAAACATTTAAAATGCCTTTTAAATCAGATCAAAAGTAGGTGTTTCATGAATTAGCTTAAGAAAAGTTAAAAAGTCAGGTTCAATTACTTAAAATTAGTTGATTTTTATTAAATATATAACATTTGAAATCCATTATAATCAAGGCACATGAATGACTTAACACATTTTGAATATATACCCATCCTTACAAGTATCTATCAGGGTCAATGTTCTTGGAGAACTCTAGACTAAACTCTACTATGTTCCTGTGACGCAGAAAAGAATGTTTGGATGTCAGCAGCTGGATCTTTAGTTCCTGATGTGGGAGTCCCCTCTGTGTGCTGTAATTACCATTAATGAATAAAGAAACTGCCTTGGCCTGTTGATAGGACAGAACTTAGGTAGGTGGGGAAGACTGGACTAAATGCTGGGAGAAAGAATGGTGAAGTCCGAGAGACACCATGGAGCCGCCAGAGTGAGACATATGAATCTTTGCCCATAAGCCACTGCCACGTGGCGATATACAGATTAATAGAAATGAGTTAAATTAAAAAAGAGTTAGCCAATAAGAAGCTAAAGCTAATGGACCAAGCAATGTTTAAATTAATATAGTTTCTGTGTGATTGTTTTGGTTCTAGGCAGCTGGGACGAACAAGTGGTCCCATCCCTTCAAGTTCCTATCTCTGGAATGATGTCATACAGCTTCAAGAGAAAAATTCTTGAAAATTTTCCTTCCTTTGGAGCACACATATACACACCCAACACACACTTATCTCCAGGACTTTAATTGTTTAATTTTTTTGTTTCTTTATTTTCTTTATGAGGCCGGCTCCCACTGTGTATCTGCGGTTTGTTTGGAACTCAGTATGTACAACAACTAACTCATCTCCAACTCACAGAGATCTGCTGGCTTCTTCCTCCCAAGTGCTGAGGCTAAAGGCATGCACCACCAGGCTCAGCATATATTATTTTTTAAAAAAATGTACATATAATAGAATTTCTGTAAAATTTCCTTCTATTGTATAATAATTATGGTGGGAGATTAGTTAAACTAGACTTTAGTTCAGTTTAGATTAGTCCTCTAGAATTTAAACTCTATAGATACCTAATTTAGATGAAATGTCCTCAGAATGATGCATAGGTAAATTGCCTTAGGCTAGTTTATATATTGGCTGATGATAATTTAGGGAAAATTGTGGTCATCGAGGTAGAGGGTACCAAGAGGAACTGAGAAATAGAAGGAATGACGCAGAGTGAGCATAAAAGACAGCTAACGTAAAAGCCAAACTTGATGTTTAACCTGGCAGAAATAGTCAACATATAATAAAAAAATAACACGAAAACAACAGAACTGTATTTAGGATATTGAGATTTAAGAATTATGTGTTTATAAACACAGCTGACAATAGTACAATAAATATGATCCAAAAAGTTGGGAGTGATGAAGTTTTAAAAAAAAGAAGTAGCAAGGTTTGAACCCAGATAACAAAATAATTTGTTATTTATGTAAATGGTTGAATAGTTGACTTGGGACAAATGAACAAAGCAATACATGAACATGTTATATCTTGAAAACAACAACATAATCATTCTATATCAGAATCTTTGTGATATAGGACTCGTAGAGTCATAAAATGCCTACTGTAATGACTTGAAAAAAAACTGGTTGAATGGTTTCCTGGTGCTAAATTCTCCATTTCCCAATCTGGTCCATTGGGTACAATTTTTGAGATGGGAATTGGTTAGACTTGGCTTAAAGTTCTTTCTAGTTGTGTGGTGCAAAGTCAAAATGAATCAATCCATCGAGCATTTGTTACTTAATGACTGTGTTATTATCGTGCCAATGCATTAGACTGTCTCTAAAAAAGGCTAGAAAAACCATTTTCCTTTGGTGATTGAGTTGGAATCCAGTACCTCGTGTGTGCCAGATATGTGTTCTACCAGTGAACTATGTACCAGTCACCTATCAGCTAATTTATATTTCCACATTCTCCTTTATACTCTTTACCCATTGTTACTTTCAACTATTAAAAAAATACTTCTTAGAATCAATATACTAATAAAATGGCTAAAAAGAAAAGAAGGAAATGAAGGAAGGAAGGACGAAAGATAGAAATGGGCTCACCTTTGATCATTAAATTGTGCATTTTTTAAAAGTTAAAAACTGCTGAAAGACCAGGCATTTCTGTTAATAGTGATCATCCTTGGCACAGGAATAAGACTGTGGGTAGCTAGAAAGACAGGAATTGGATATTTTCCAAAACAATTGCCACCTTTAGAAGATTAGGCAATTATTTAAGACATAAGGGAATGTCCCTAACGTTAGGACATTGTATGGGCTCCTAAGAAAGGGATTTCTGGTCATTAGGGAGAGGAAGGCCATGATAGAAACACCGACTGTTTCAGGAAGAATCTCTAAGAGTAAGGATTTGTGTCCATTTTTTCCAGAAGCCACCAGGCAATTGCTGGGTACACAGCCTAGGTCCTCTGCAAGAGCAGCTAGTACTCTCAACCACTGAGCCATCTCTCCAGCCCCAAACTGGTTACATTTTTATTATTACTTTAAAAGATTTCCTATAAAACAATGTTTCTGGAAGTTGTAGGAGTCGGGTCCTTTGTTTTAAGGTGCATTATTTAAGGATGGGCTCCTGGTCACCAAATCAGCAGGAGCAGGTTTGTTTTAGCACTGGGAGGATCTTTACACTTTGCAGTATGAATTCCTTCTCATAAAACCATTTGAATACTCTCAGCCTTAGCAGTCTTTGATTTCTTTTTCTTTTTAGCAGTATTATGTGTACATTAATCTTACCCACATGATAATTAAGTTTATTTCTTTGGCTTTCTTTGGGCTTATTGCATTCACAGAAGCATCTCAAAGAAAGCCCTAGTACTTATATCCATGATTATGCTCAAGATGGCCTGAAGGACAGGCTTTGACAAATCTTAGCGCATTTATAAACTGAATTAGGTTTCTGAGAGATCATTTAACATGATAAAATATTGTTTGCTACTGTTTCTTTGCGCTGTCTAGTCACCTAAACAATGCAACAAACAAACAAACAAACCAAGGACCCAAATACCTCCAGAACAACACCAAAATCCATTAGATTTATACAAGTAATCCACTTCAGGGTAGGTAAGTAGCAAGGATTCTCAAAACAAATTTCAAATCGCAGAAATTCAACTGAATATGGTTCTGATTTTTTATTCAATTTTGTCATTTTCTACATTGAGAAAAATGACAGCTAAAGACTGCACTAGAAATTGATGGTTTGGGTAAAATCGTTCATATCATTCTAAACAAAAATAAATTTTATATTTAAAGTAATGTTAATAGATAATATGAAACTTGTTTAGATAAACTGCTTTTTAAAATATCATCTACTTCTAATTGCACAAACAGTAACATGCCTTCAGATTACGCTGAGTATATTAAATTTTAAAAATAAAAGATTTGAGGAAGTAGATTTACTTGGCCACTTACAGTATACTTGGCTTATCATTTTGAAGAAACTATTTAACTTCTGAGAGCCTCCCTTACCTTATAAATAAAGAGGAGATTATAATAATGAACTTGTAACTTTTATGAGGCTTAGTAGGGATTAGTTTCAGATGCCTGGCATACAATATGGTGCACTCATATTGACAGTTTTTTCATATATTCTTGAAGCAACAAAAATAAACTAATTTGTGTGAACAGGAAAGAAAATATAAAAGAATAACTAAGGAAAATCATGGCTTTAAGAAACTCCCCCAAAGGGGAGGGGGGAGGTGGCAAGGTGTGGGAGGAGGGGGAGGGAAATGGGAAATGGGGAGGAGGCGGAAATTTTTTTTCAACAACTAAAAAAAATAAACAAAATAAAAATCAAAAAAGAAACTCCCCCAAACAATAGTGCTTTGGCAGTCTGGCTTTCACCTTAGTAGCAACAGGAGAAGTGGAAATGGAGAGGAGTGTTGGCAATGCCACTAAAGTGCTCCTTTTTATAAGCTTGACAGCTGACATCTCTGCCTTTGGACTGCTCCAGAGATCCTTGAGCTATGGTAACAGGGACAAGGTTTCATTTTCTTTTGCACTGTTCAGTGCAAAACTGTCAAAGCAAAACGCTTATCAACATAGCCGAGAAGCCTTAATCATTTCGACTACTCATTTTCACTTTGCAAGTGCTATTTTGCAAGTTTAACTTATGTTTTCCAAATGACCTCAAAGGAATACAAAAGACCTTTAAGTTCACTAATGAATGGTGTTGAGAGGTCAATTTTTTGAACCTTAATTTCTTTTTAGAATGTACACATATTCTTCCCTGGCCAGAGGTGAATGATAATTACTGTTTCTATAAAAACGATGTTTACTTGTTCAGTGTGAGCAAAAATGTTAGATGTGTTATTATATAAACAATGTGGCTTTGTACTTCTTCTATTGGTTTACCCTTGGAATGAGAGTCTCTAAAAATAGAGAGATGGACAGAACTGAAGAACCTCTTAGAAGAATGCTAAAATAGTCAGTACAGTTTAATAAAACAGTTATCAGTCTAAACAAGAACACATTGAAATTCACTTCAACCTACTCGACTAGGGAAGACAATTAAAAGAAAGACACCTAACCTATGGAAAAGTAAATCTGGCCTTTCAGTACTGATTACAAGGTGAGAGAAAATGAACATGCCAATGGCATTGCAATCAGTGTCTGTAATTTGTAAGTGCTGTTTGGAATACAATTCTAAAAAGAGTAGATGTTACTAGACAAGTTGCAGATAAAACTACCTATTGGTTTGAAATTGCTATACATATTTCTAAACATAAAATGATTTTACAAAGATGTGCATAACTTTTCTTTTGCTGGAACAAACAAACATATTTCTAAGGAACAATGGAGCAGGGAAATCGTCTTACCTCCATCCAGCTCCTCAGCTCCAAAATGATTCCTGTAGAACAGCATGATTTCTATCTTGTAACATTTATAGATGGTCACCAAACAAACAAGCAGCAAGAGAATAGCACCAAGCCCTCCAGCAAGTTCAACGGTGTACATTAACTCTAGAGGAAGAGAGCAAGGGAGAATTACATAATCACACAAAAAAACATGGAATTCTATTTAGTTTCATGTTTTTGCAAATGACTCCAGATGTGTTAGAACAATCTCATCTCCTTTTCTATGACAATTATTTTTTTTTCATTTTTTTTTAAAAAATTTGCTTCTCATTGTGTATCCTAGGCTGGCTTTGAACTTGTGACCCACCTGACACAGTCTCTCAAGTTCTGGGATCATGGGCATGTACCAACATACTTCTCTTGTGTGAGGATTTAATCCATCCTTAGTTTTCAATTCTGTTACTGTGGTAATTGGATAAGGTGATATGTGACAGCGTTGCTTAGTAACACTGCTTTGCTAAAAATGAACTTGGTTGACACATTGCACCTGGACTAAAAATACTGTAAATATCTAATTGAAAACTACAATATTGGGTTGGCCTCAGTGCTACAACTTTTACATGTACGCATATTGTTTGAGGAGGTCCTGTGAACTACGTGTTTGGAATTGATAAAAATATTTTTTTAAAGACAAGACAGCTTTATGATCATCTGCATATGAATCTTTTTTTACCTGAGCTGTTACCAGGGATTTGGATTGAAGATTTAAAAAAACCATGGGCCAAATAGCATTGTTCCTAGAGGACATGTACATTGCACATAGTGTTGGCAGAATTACCTGAGGAATGCTATCTGCTCTCTCCCCTGCAAGAAGTAATGACTTATCATGTCCATTTTTCTGAAAAGAGTACTGTCCAGCTGTGTTAGCATAATCCTGAAGGTGAAAAGATTAACTGGATTTAAAAAGTAGGCCTCCTAGGAGATAGCACAGGAAAATATGCTGGAAACCTTTTTTAAATTAAGAAACTACATTTTTCCTTATTTTTATTTACTTTCCCTTATATTATACTAGACATGTTACTATAGACATGTCTAAATGAGGAACTTTTTGACACTTGCTGCATACAAGTGTGGTGGCATTTCATTTGTATTTTAATAAGTAAGCCTTGCCTGAAGACCAGAGAGTAAAACAGCCCCACTGGGCAGCCTTACAACCAGGCAGTGATAACCCACACCTTTAATCCCAGTAGCTACACTAGTTGCCATAAAAACTGGGTGGTGCATGCCTTTAATCCCAGAGGTGCACGCCTTTAATCCCAGAGGTGCACGCCTTTAATCCCAGTCCAAGAGAGGATTATAAAACAGGATGAGACAGCTCTCAGTCTCAGTCTCATTCTGAGATCCTTGGAAACTGGATCGCCATTTTAGACTAAGATAGAAGTAAGAACTGATGGCGAATTGTTTTGCTTTTCTGGCCTTCAGGTTGAACCCCAGTTTCTCTCTCTGAGTTTTGATTAATCGTGGATCATACAAGCTCTCCTTTATCACACTGAATGTTAATATTATAGCAAAAATGAACAGAAAAAATGGAATAGAAGAGATTAATGTGGTTACCTTTTCTTCTTTAGGTCTTATGAAGATTGTAACAAGATTTAGGTTGCTGGTATGTAAATAATAAGTATCCATGCACATATATTGAAATTCCCTCTGCCTAAGTGCCTATGTATGCATAATGTCATTGATTATCATTGTCTAAATGTTATTACTGTTGGGTGGCTGATGTTCCCTGAAGTGAAACTTGAAAAATGATAGTCTCTTTCGTTCAGTAAATTTAGTGCTATGTGTAGCAGTTTTGTCCCAGATGGAAACCTTACATCTTGGAAGGAAGCGCAGGAACATAGAAGATGTTAAAGTGGAGATGAAGCAACAGGATATTTTAGGGAAGTAGAACATTCCCCTCTGTAGCTCAAGAAGGAAACAACTCAAACCAGATTTTAGAGGTCTTTTCTGACCAGAGTAAGCAATGAAGACCTCTAAGCGTCACCATCAGACAAACTCAGCTGCGGAGACTCTGAGACCAGACCAGCTGCCTGGAAGAAGCAGAAAGAAGCCAAGCTAGCTGAAAGAGGTTCAGCCTGAGTCATTGGGAAAGCACACTCTCCAACTTGTTGTGCTGCCTGCAGGCTGTGGAGTGTGCTTTGGGTTGCCCATATTCATGAGCTATCCCTCATGCTGGGACGGGCTTTGCTAGTGCTGCTGTCATTTGAGTTTTTTCTATGCCTGTAAGTAACACTAAGAAAACTCAGGGTTCCCCACATTAATCTCTGATAGTGTCCTTATTTTGTCCTGTCATCAGTATCCTACCTGGAGTGACTAGACTTTTGTTCACATCTCCCCAGGAATAGCGTCACATAACATCCAGTCGTTCCTTAAATTAAAACACTAAAATAATGTTCTGGATTCTGTAGTTGGGAAACTGAGAAGGAGTAGGTTATATAGTTTATAGCACGGTCAATAAAAGCTCAGATTAAGAACATTAAAATAATTCATGATTTGTGATAATAAATATTATTAGGTAACAAGTTCTCTACTAAATTCTCATAAATAGGGTAAAATAATAACAGGAATGAGACAGTGCAGAGAAAATAATTTTGAAAGTATGGTCATTTTTTCACAAGAGTTGTGTGTGTGACAGAGCGAATATTTTTGTGTATGTGTACATGCTTGTATGTGATAACATTTTTCCTGTAACAATTAAGAAAAACAATCTGTCACATTTCTCATTATCTAGTTCTTTATTCCTACTGTAACAGTTGAATAAAGTTGAAAAATATAACAACTATTTAATCAAGTGTATTTTTTATACTTGGTAAAATTAAATGGGAATTTGAAGAAAATATTTTATTAAAAATATCTGACTCTGAATTTACGATAGAATAAAGTAAAATAAGAAATTAAATATTTCAGAGGTGAAATAAATTAATATGAAATAATGGAAAATAATTTCACAAGTTTTATCTCTTTAACATTGTAAAGAGCTACACAAGAGACTACTGCAAAAGTGCCAGGAACAAAATACAAAATGTTATTCAGAACAGTGTTTCTTTCTCACTGTGTGTACAGAAAGACTAAGTGGGTAAATAATACTGTGGAGTGCTTTGGGCCTTCGTTCTCTCAGAATGACAGTTGAATTTCACCACACAGAGAAACCTGAATAAAAGTACATATGTCCAAAGGATGAACAAGATATCAGAACATCCCGATTTAAAATACACTGGACATCAAGGAAACATAATAATTTAGATCATGACCACTTTGTGGTAAGGTCCAATCCTCAAACCCAGGACCTCATGCTAGGTGAATGCTCTACCACTTTAACACATTCCTAGCCCACATCGCAGCTTTTTTTAAGGTCTTGTTTTTTTTTTTTTTTTTTTTTTTTTTTTTTTTTTTTTTTTTTTTATACTTCATGCTGGCTAGTTTTATGTCAGTTGGACACAAGCTAATATCATCTTAGAGGAAAGAGCCTCAATTGAGAAATTCCCTCCATAGGCGGCTGTGGTTAAGCCTGAAGGTCATTTTCTTAATTAGTTATTGACATGCGAGGGACCATCCCACTGTCAGTTGGTGATCCTGGATACTATAAGAGAGCAGGTTGAGCAAGTCATGGGAAGCAAGCCAGTAATCAGCAACCATCCATGGCCTCAGCATCAATTCCTGCCTCCAGGTTCCTTCCCTGCTTGAGGTCATGTGATGACTTCCCTCATTGAAGAAGTGTTACCTAGAAATGTAAGTAAAATAAACGCTTTTTTCCCCAAGTTGCTTTTGGTCACAGTGTTTAATCACAGCAATAGAAACCCTAAAGTACGGCATATAATTTACAACTAAAATTTCTTGCATAAGAAAAGAATGGAAATTCGATCAAGAATACTTAATTCCCAGTCTTGAGAGAACATAATTGTTCTATTGGGAAAGTTTTCTAATAAGGTTTTTAATGTTAATATCAATTCCACTTCTATGTGGTTATCCAAGAGATATATACAGATACTCTCTGAAAGTCTTGTAAAACACTGTTCGGAGTAGTCTTATCCATACTAACCACAACTGAAAACAACCTATCTCATTAACAGGAGATGCTGAATAAACTAGTGCCAGCCCATAAATAGATTGCATTCAGCAAGCAAAAGAAGAAACTAAAGATATACACCATGCAAAAACCCATAGGGTTATACTGGGTAAAAGAAGTCAAACACAAAGTACTATTTACTGTATGGTTCTACCCAAGTATAAAAACAGCCTATTACAATGCACAGCGATAGAACTCGAAACTATATTTTCTTATGGGATAAGTGAAGGGAAAGTTTATTGGAAAGGGGTAAGGGGGAGCTTTGCAGGGTAAAGAAATTTTTTTTTTATCTTGTCTCGGGGTAGATGCAGAATTGTATGCATTTGTTAAATTTCATTGATCTGATCACATGAGGTCTATGAATTTTATCTTATGCCAATCATAACTCAATTCTTTAAAATTACGATTTCTTATGAAAAGTTATTACAAGTTCTGACCCAAGGCCTGTGTGCGGATACACTCTAAGAACTACTGGAGTCAGAACAGATGTTCTGTTGTAGATAAGTAGCCAGGCCTCCAAGTAGATAGTAGATAGTGCCTCCAAGTCTGCCATTTGCAGTTGGAGGCATAGTACTAGGCCCTTGCCTGTAATATAGTGTAAATACCATATCTACTCAAATAGCTTTAGAAACAATAAAAATTCAATCAAAAAAAAGACTCATTTTCTTTAGGTGATGTTCATAATTTAGGTTTCTACATACTTTTAAACAGCTATTTTTTGGTCCTTTTAAAACTGTATATCTTTTAATTTTAGATTATAATATAATTATAACATTTCTCACTTCCTTTACCTCCCTCGAAACCATCCCATATATCCCTCCTTGTTTTTTTTTTAAATTCATGGACAATTGTTTCTTTTTTTGGGAACTGAATGTGAATAAGTAAAAGAAAAATTGTACAAAAGTTATTTTTATTTCTAGAGAACATATTACTATTTACTTTTATAGAAATCAAGGTTGTACATAATACCTTAAATATTCTTTATATTTAGAAAATAATATTGTCTGAAATGTAATAAAAATTTATAATAGGGTTGATG